TTCAACAAGGTAGGGAGAAATCAGCAAGGTAGGGGTGATTTTGCAAGGAAGGGGGTGTTTAAGCAAGGAGGGGATGATTCAGCCAGATAGGGAGAATGCAGCAAGGAAGGGGTGATTAAGCAAGGTTATAGTGATTCAGCAAGGTAGGGTTGATTGATAGAAGTAGGGGTGATTAAGCAAGGTAGGGTTGATTAAGCAAGGTAGGGGTGATTAAGCAAGGCAGGTGTGATTAAGCAAGGTAGGGGTGATTAAGCAAGGTAGGGGTGATTAAGCAAGGTAGGGGTGATTAAGCAGATAGGGGTGATTAAGCAAGGTAGGGGTGATTAAGCAGAGTAGGGGTGATAAAGCAAGGTAGGAGTGACTAAACAAGGGTAGGGATGATTAAGCAAGGTAGGGGTGACTAAGCAAGGTAGGGGTGATGAAGCAAGGTAGGGATGATTAACCACGGTAGGGCTGATTAAGCAAGGTAGGGGGTGATTAAGCAAGGTAGGGATGATTAACCAAGGTAGGGGTGATTGATCAGAGTAGGGGTGATTAAGCAAGGTAGGTGTGATTAAGCAAGGTAGGGGGAATTAAGACAGGTAGGGGGGATTCAACAAGATAGGGAGAAATCAGCAAGGTTGGGGTGATTTTGCAAGGTAGGGGGTGTTTAAGCAAGGTAGGGGTGATTAAGCAAGGTAGGGGTGATTAAGCAAGATAGGGGTGATTAAGCAAGGTAGGGGTGATTAAGCAGAGTAGGGGGTGATTAAGCAAGGTAGGAGTGACTAAGCAAGGTAGGGATGATTAAGCAAGGTAGGGGTGACTAAGCAAGGTAGGGGTGATGAAGCAAGGTAGGGGTGATCAAGCAAGGAATGGGTGATTAAGCAAGGTAGGGGTGATTAAGCAAGGTAGGGGTGAATTTGCAAGGTAGGGGTGATTAAGCAAGATAGGGATGATTCAGCTAGATACGGAGAATTCAGCCAGGAAGGGGTGATTAAGCAAGGTAGTAGTGATTCAGCAAGGTAGGGTTGATTAATAGAAGTAGGGGGTGATTTAGCAAGGTAGGGGTGATTAAGCAAGGTAGGGATGATTAAGGAAGGTAGGAGTGATTATGCAGAGTAGGGGTGATTATGCAAGGTAGGGGTGATTAAGCAAGGTGGGGGTGATTAAGACAGGTAGGGGGATGCAACAAGATAGGGAGAAATCAGCAAGGAAGGGGTGATTATGCAAGGTAGTGAAGATTTAGCCAGATTGGGAGAATTCAGCAAGGTAGGAAGGATTCAGGAAGATAGGGAGAATTCAGCAAGGAACAGGTGATAAAGCAAGGTAGGGTTGATTAATAAAAGTTGGGGTGATTAAGCAAGGTAGGGGTTGTTGGTGCAACCCTATGGCTTGCACTCGCTTGTCGTCCTTGTTTGTGTGTGTGCATGCATGGCATGGAATGAATTGTGAGTCTATGTCATTGCTATCCAGTGCTTGTGTGTGTGTTTGAATGGTGTATCACAATGTGGTTTGTGTCGGTCAAGACATTAGCAAGTTTTTACAACTCGCATGTCAAGTCGTCGTTTGTGTGTCGCATGTGTTTTTTCTATTTTGTCGAGTGTGAAGTGTCGATCGTGTCGCAGGTGTGTGCAGCAAGCCCCCATCAACTCAAGAAGAATTTATCTTGCAGATCCAGAACAAGAGCTCAAGATTTCAAGCCCAAGGGACGCGGATAAATATTAAATAGTGAAAATAGTAACGTTACTTCGTGTAGTGTTACATTTCACTTGGTGTAGCCCCTTGGAGGGTTGGTTTCGAGACTCTTCATGGTTGGGGACCCTGTGGTGGTGTACCACCAACCTGGACCTCGGCTCTTGGGGTATGTAGAGGCTGGGAACCATCTCCCTCTCGAACTCTTCTTGCTAAGTTTGTACTCCTAAGACTATTGTGGCTGCTATACCTCCTGCCAGTCAAACCGCCATAGCGTCGTCAAATCTTCATGGAATTTCATGATTCAACTTGCTGCTGATAGACGACAGCAACACGCTCCAGATCCAATTTACACATCACCGTTTGATTCAGTGACCAGATCGTTATCAGTATTTGAAGCCGTCTGACAGAAATCCGACTGTGCTCTCTATCTCTCATTATAGGCACATCTAAGCCTATTGTGATTATAACAAGTGGTATCAGAGCCCCTTGGAGCTGTCTCGACCATGCCTAGGACCTGAGGAAGGGGGTGGCAGAGGTGCTGGAGGCAGAGAAGACGCCCAAGCACAAGGTCAACACCAAGATCCACCCGTTGCTCCGGTGCAACCTAGCCTTGGACCCTCTAGGGATGAGCCTAGAGTGTTTGGCCTTGACAAGTTCAACGGTGACAACTTTGCTGAGTGGTCCTTCAAGATGGAGAACATCTTTGACCACTATGATCTGCTGGAGGTGATGGAAGGAACGGAGAAGCCCCGAGAACGACCCGGAGAAGAGCCCGTGGGTGCGGAAGAGCGCACAAGGCTACCTTCTACTTGGGCAAGCGTTGGGGAGCAGCCAAATCCGTCACATCAAGCCTTTTCAGCGTGAACCAGCAAAGGGACCAAAGGCATGGGCTGCTCTCAAGGGTGTACACGCTCCTGCAACAGCGGCGGTGGCTGTGGTTTTGGAGCGGCAAATGGCGGCACTTCGAATTGACGAAGGCGAACCGGTGGAGGAAGGAGTGCAGAAATTCTTCGACTTGTTGACACGGCTCGAAGGAGCTGACCTGAACTACAGTGACCTTCAAAAGAAGACCAAGCTGCTGGCCTTACTTCCGGACTCATGGTCCTCGCTCATCATCAACCTAATCGAGATCTGCCCCCGTCTCTCACTCGAAGATGTGAAGCGGGAAATCTTACAAGAAGATTTCCGCCGTCGCGAATTGGCGGGTCCCGATGGTGCCGGAGTTGCAAGCATGGGCCGTGGGCACGGCCGTGGAAGGGGCAGAGGGCGAGGAGGAAGATTTGGCAGCAGCAACTTCAATGGAGGCCGTGGTAATGGAGGATATGGCAGCAACAACAATGGCTACGGGCGTGGGCGCGGTCGATTTGATGGCGAATGCCACTTTTGCCACAAGACCGGCCACATGTGGAGAGATTGCTTCAGATTGCCTGATGGATGGACCCCTTCTCAAGGCCAAGAGGGCAGAGGAGCAAGGGGAGGAAGAGGCAGAGGTCGTGGAGGCCGTGGTGGTCGTGGAGCGAAGCGGCAAGCATGAAAGGTGGAGACTACGACAAGGACTCGAGTGAAGATCGATACCCAGGCCAATTCTTCTTTGTCTCCACGCAAGCGGCAGCTGCAGCAGGAGGTGTGGAAGGCTTTGAGGAGCCAGCTACTGTGGGAAGGTCACCCTTCACTCTCTGGACTTTTGGGTGATCGATAGCGGCGCCACCTATAGCATGACACCTCGTGCGGACTTGCTCACCGAACTCGAACCGTCGCCGGTCAAGCATGTACATCGGCTTTGGGGCAGCGAGCAGAGGTGAAAGGCATGGGCAAGGCCATGTTCAAGGGTGCTGATGGGAAGATGGTGGGCCTCAAGAACGTGCTTTTGGTGCCCAACCTAGCAGCCAACCTGATTTCCGTTCGGCGTTTGCAAAAGGCCGGCATGGACACATCTTCCAAGGGATCGAAAACATATACCGCGAGGCTTGGTGAGCGGAAGCTTTGGGACCTTCATGAGGACAGGGACATCTACAATGAGATGTGGCAAATCCCAGTGGTCCCCATGCCTAAGGAGAGGCAAGTGGCAGCAAGCGTCAGCACCAAGAGTGAAGCGGATGGTGGCGGTGATCACGGAAAGCAAAGTGACACCAAGAGTGACTCGAACGAGTGCAATCTTGGAGAGACCAGCAAGGCGTGTGAATCCCAAGGAGAGTGGTGCAGCAGCCAAAGGTGGTGGAAATGAGGAGGAGAAATCATAAGATCAGCAAAACAGCAGCGGCGAAGGAGAAAGGAGAGAGCTTGTGGGCACATTGCGAGTGCCGCTTTCTCCAACCCGACTCCGCTACGGGAGAGTGTGATTGGCTGACCTTGCATCGGCGAATGGGGCATGTGGCATTGCCCATTTTGCAGCAGATAGTCAAGCAAGACATGGTCAGTGGGATACGTGTCAAGGGGGAGCCCAATGAGGTGCTTGGCTGTCCAACATGCATGCAAGCCAAGTTCACCCGCTACCCGTTCCATAGCTCGGAGACAACGGCGAAGGCACCACTTGATGAGGTGGTGATGGATGTGGTGGGTCCCCTTGAAGCTTGGAGCTGCTGGAGCTGAGTACTTCCTCACCATTGGTGGACGTCTACACTCGCATGACTTGGGTATATGTGCTGCCCAAGAAGAGTGACGTGCTGAAACGGTGAAGACCGATTGGTTGCCGATGGTGGAGCGGCAACAAGACCGACTTGTGAAGGCGATTCGCACTGACCGTGGGGGAGAGTTCCTGAGCAAGGACTTCTCAACTTGGCTGAAGAAGCAGGGCATAAGGCACTCTCTTACCATGCCCTACTCTCCTGCAATGAACGGCATTGCCGAGCGTGCGAATCGGACACTCACGGAGACGGCTCGGGGACTTCTCATTGAAGCCGGTCTTCCCAATTACTTTTGGCCGGATGCGGTGCGGCATGCTTGTGTGGCCAAGAACAGAGCCTTGACTCACGTGGGAGAAGACAAATGGGTGCCTATGTGGAGTGGATTGGAAGGAAGCCGAAGGTGGATATGCTTCGGGTGTTCGGGTGCATGTGCATGGCACTTGTGCCTAAGAAACTTCGGCACAACAAGCTTGATGCCAAGGCAACATGGGCCGTGCACTTGGGCATGGCTCAAAACAGCAAGGGATGGCTTCTTTGGGACCCATTTACCAAGAAGTTCCTGGTGAGCAGAGATTGCAAGTTCATGGAGAACTTACCGTACAAGGAGTGGAAGGCGGAGAACCAAGCGAAGATTGGTGTGCGGCTTGGAGAGGTGAAGAGTACCGGCTTGGAGCATGTGGAGCTGCCCTTGGAGCTGAGTAGCAGCAGCACTATCACAAGGCAATCTCCTCAAATGAATGGGGGAGAAGAGGAGGAGGAGGTGCAGCAAGGTGATGAGCGTACACCGTCACTTCCGCCTCGTGCTACAAGTGCTCGCGGGAACCGAGCAGATTGCAGCAACGCCATGAGAGCATCCAAGTCCCTGCAGTAGAGGAGGAAGGAAGGGGGAGAAGGAGGACTCAGCCCCCCAATAGGTTGAGCTATGAACGGCTTGGAGGAGCAGCCAACTCAACCTTGACCGGTTCGGCTCTCATGCTAGGCGATGAAGCGGAAGATGAAAGCGAGGAGTGCGCTTTTGCCTTCTTCTCTCCGGTGGAGATACCGGGGGAGCCTACAAATCCCAAGGAGGCTTGGGAGGGCCCCAATGGGAAGGAGTGGAAGAAGGCCTCAGATGAAGAGATGGGAGCATCATCGAGAACGACACGTTTGACTTGGTGAACCTACCCCCGGGGCGTAAGGCGATCTCTTCCAAGTGGCTCTTCAAGCGCAAGACCGACGCCGACGGCAACATTGAGCGCTACAAGAGCAGACTTGTAGCCAAGGGGTACCAGCAGCAGGAGAAGAAGGACTACAATGAAGTATATGCTCCTGTGGTAAAGGGTACAACCCTTCGAACCCTCTTCGCCGCGGCGGCCATCAAAGGATGGGTGGTGAAGCAAATGGATATCGTAACGGCCTTCCTCAACGGAGTTTTGGAGGAAGAGACCTACATGGAGCAGCCAGAGGGGTACAATGATGGGAGTGGCAGAGTGTGGAAGCTGAAGAAAGCACTCTATGGCCTCAAGCAAGCCCCTAGGCAATGGTACATCAAGCTGCGGGAAGTCTTGGAGGCGATCGGTTTCACTCCCTCAACGGCCGATCAATCATTGTTCATGCTTGGCGAGGGGGAGCAGAGGAGCTTCATGGTGGTTTATGTGGATGACATCCTCATATTCTCACCCTCCTCTGACCTTGTGAAGGAGGTGATGCTGAAGCTTCAAGACAAGTTCAAGTGCAAGACCCTTGGTGACGTCAACTACTACCTTGGGCTTCACATTGAGCGAGATGTGGAGAAGCGGTGGATGCGAGTGCATCAAAAGAAGTACTTGGAGCCTTGGCTGCAAACTTTGGAAAGAGTGAAGGTCATGTGGCTACTCCTCTTCCCTCAGGGTTCAAGTGTGTGAAAGGACCAGCAGAGGAAAGTGTTGGTGAAGAGGAGAGGCGCCGTTTTCATTCCTTGGTGGGCAGCCTCATGTATGCGGCCGTTCACACAAGGCCGGATGCAGCCTTTGCTACCGGACAGCTAGCTAGGGTTGTCCAATGCCCTAATGAAGAGCAGGTAGCAGCTGGAGAGAGGGTGGCCAAGTACCTTGGCCAAACAGCAACTGTTGGACTGCAATACTCCGCGGCGGCACAAAAGGCGTCAAAAGGGTGCGGATGGAGTCGAACCCGGGAGGCTCTTTCTCACCGCCTTCTCTGATGCATCTTGGGCATCAGAACCAGAGGACATGACAAGTGTGGGAGGCTTCATCTGCTGTGTTGGTGGAGGACCAACAGCTTGGGAGAGCAAGAAGCAAGTGGACCAAGCATTGAGCTCGGTGGAGTCCGAGTACATGGCACTCTTCCGTGCCATAAGAGAGGTTGTGTGGCAGCGGCGTTTGCTAGCTGAATTGGGGGAGGAGCAGCAAGGACCTACCCCACTCTACTGTGATAGCCAGGGGTGCTATTGCATTGGCTAAGAACCCCGTTCTTCATGGCCTTACCAAGCACATGAAGGTGAAGTGGCATTGGGTGAGGAGCATGGTAACCGCGGGTGAAGTGGAGTTGCACTACGTGAAGACGACGGCGCAGCCAGCTGATATGATGACCAAGAGGCTGGTTGAGCAGCAGCATTGGAAGTGTTGCAAGCTTGCTGGGATGGCTCTGAACTAAGGGGAGCAGATTCTAAGGCCAACAATCCGAGGGGGAGTTTGTTGGTGCAACCCTATGGCTTGCACTCGGCTTGTCGTCCTTGTTTGTGTGTGTGCATGCATGGCATGGAATGAATTGTGAGTCTATGTCATTGCTATCCAGTGCTTGTGTGTGTGTTTGAATGGTGTATCACAATGTGGTTTGTGTCGGTCAAGACATTAGCAAGTTTTTACAACTCGCATGTCAAGTCGTCGTTTGTGTGTCGCATGTGTTTTTCTATTTTGTCGAGTGTGAAGTGTCGATCGTGTCGCAGGTGTGTGCAGCAAGCCCCCATCAACTCAAGAAGAATTTATCTTGCAGATCCAGGAACAAGAGCTCAAGATTTCAAGCCCAAGGGACGCGGATAAATATTAAATAGTGAAAATAGTAACGTTACTTCGTGTAGTGTTACATTTCACTTGGTGTAGCCCCTTGGAGGGTTGGTTTCGAGACTCTTCATGGTTGGGGACCCTGTGGTGGTGTACCACCAACCTGGACCTCGGCTCTTGGGGTATGTAGAGGCTGGGAACCATCTCCCTCTCAAACTCTTCTTGCTAAGTTTGTACTCCTAAGACTATTGTGGCTGCTATACCTCCTGCCAGTCAAACCGCCATAGCGTCGTCAAATCTTCATGGAATTTCATGATTCAACTTGCTGCTGATAGACGACAGCAACACGCTCCAGATCCAATTTACACATCACCGTTTGATTCAGTGACCAGATCGTTATCAGTATTTGAAGCCGTCTGACAGAAATCCGACTGTGCTCTCTATCTCTCATTATAGGCACATCTAAGCCTATTGTGATTATAACAGGGGTGATTAAGCAGAGTAGGGTGATTAAGCAAGGTAGGGGGTGATTAAGCAAGGTAGGGGTTATTAAGCAAGGTAGGGGTGATTCAGCTAGGTAGGGATGATTATGCAAGGAAGGGGTGATTAAGCAGATTAGGGGTGATTCAGCAAGGTAAGGTGCTTAAGCTAGGTTGGGGTGATTAAGCAAGGAGGGATAATTAACCACGGTAGGGGTGATTAAGAAAGGTAGGTGTGATTAAGCAAGGTAGGGTAATTGCAAGGTAGGGGGTGATTAAGCAAGTAGCGATGATTAAAGCAAGGTAGGGGTGATTGATCAGAGTAGGGGTGATTAAGCAAGGTAGGGGTGACTAACCAAGGTAGGGGGAATTAAGACAGGTAGGGGGGATTCAACAAGATAGGGAGAAATCAGCAAGGTAGGGGTGATTATGCAAGTTAGATGTGATAAAGCAAGGTAGGGGGTGTTTAAGCAAGGTAGGGATGATTCAGCCAGATAGGGAGAATTCAGTAAGGAAGGGGTGATTAAGCAAGGTTATAGTGATTCAGCAAGGTAGGTTTGGTTGATAGAAGTAGGGGTGATTAAGCAAGGTAGGGGTGATTAAGCAAGGTAGGGTTGATTAAGAAAGGTAGGGGTGATTAAGCAAAGGTAGGGGTGATTAAGCAAGTTAGGGGGTGATTGAGCAAGGTAGGGATGATTTAGGAAGGTAGGGGTGATTAAGCAAAATAAGGGTGATTAAGCAAGGTAGGGGTGATTGATCAGAGTAGGGGTGATTAAGCAAGGTAGGGGTGACTAAGTTAGGAAGGGGGAATTTAAGACAGGTAGGGGGATTCAACAAGATAGGGAGAAATCAGCAAGGTAGGGGTGATTATGCAAGTTAGGGGTGATTAAGCAAGGTAGGGGGTGTTTAAGCAAGGTAGGGATGATTCAGCCAGATACGGAGAATTCAGTAAGGAAGGGGTGATTAAGCAAGGTTATAGTGATTCAGCAAGGTAGGGTTGATTGATAGAAGTAGGGTGATTAAGCAAGGTAGGGGTGATTAAGCAAGGTAGGGTTAATTAAGCAAGGTAGGGGTGATTAAGCAAGATAGGGGTGGTTAAGCAAGGTAGGGGTGATTAAGTGGAGTAGGGTTGATTAAGCAAGGTAGGAGACACTAAGCAAGGTGGGGATGATTAAGCAAGGTAGGGGTGACTAAGCAAGGTAGGGGTGATCAAGCAAGGAAGGGGTGATTAAGCAAGGTAGGGCGTGATTAAACAAGGTAGGGGTGAATAAGCAAGGTAGGGGTGATTAAGCAGAGTAGGGGTGATTAAGCAAGGTAGGGGTATATAAAGCAAGGTAGGGTGATTGAGAAAGGTAGGGGGATTCAGCAAGATAGGGAGATATCTGCAAGGTAGGGGTGATTAAGCAAGATAGGGGTGACTAAGCAAGGTAGGGGTGATTATGCAAGGTAGGGGTGATTAAGCAAGGTGGGTGTGATTAAGACAGGTAGGGGGGATTCACAAGATAGGGAGAAATCAGCAAGGTAGGGGTGATTCAGCAAGTTAGGGGTGATTAAGCAAGGTAGGGGGTGATTGAGGCAAGGAAGGGATGATTCAGCCAGACAGGTAGAATTCAGAAAGGAAGGGGTGATTAAGCAAGGTAGGGTTGAGTAAGCAAGGTAGGGGTGAATAGGCAAGGAAGGGGTGATTATGCAAGGTAGTGAAGATTTAGCCAGATTGGGGAATTCAGCAAGGAACAGGTGATAAAGCAAGGTAGGGTTGATTAATAGAAGTTGGGGTGATTTAAGCAAAGTAGGGGTGATTAAGCAGAGTAGGGGTGATTAAGCAAGGTAGGAGTGACTAAGCAAGGTAGGGATGATTAATAGAAGTAGGGGTGATTAAGCAGAGTTGGGGTGATTAAGCAAGGTAGTAGTGATTCAGCAAGGCAGGGTTGATTAATAGAAGTAGGTGTTATTAAGCAGAGTTGGGGTGATTAAGCAAGGTAGTAGTTATTCAGCAAGGTAGGGTTGATTAATAGAAGTAGGGGTGATTATGCAAGGTAGGGATGATTAAGTAAGTTAAGGGTGATTAAGCAAGGTAGGGGTGATTAAGCAAGGTAGGGGTGATAAAGCAAGGTAGGGGTGATGAAGTGGAGTAGGGGTGATTTATCAAGGTAGGGGTGATTTAGCCAGGAAGGGGTGATTAAGCAAGGTAGGGATGATTAAACACGGTAGGGGTGATTAAGCAAGGTAGGTGTGATTAAGCAGAGTAGGGCTGATTAAGCAAGGTAGGGGTGCTTAAGCTACGTAGGGGTGATTAAGCAAGATAGGGATGATTAAACACCGTAGGGGTGATTAAGCAAGGTGGTGGTGATTAAGCAAGATAGG